TGCGCCCGCCCCACCGGCACCGCACGCCCCGGCCCCCCTGCCCGCCACACTCTCGTGGGTTTTTTACCTTCCTGACCCCACGCGAAGGCGCCCGGGCTGGGTAGGGGGCCGTGCCTCTCCGCCCTGCGATTCCCACCTGGAACCCCCTCCCACCTGGTCCGACGCTTTGTCCCCACCTCCTCCCCATGGGCACCATCTCTGCCATTATTTCTCCCCACGGGCCAGGCCGGGCCAGGTCCCCCATCTGGGCTCTGCGTCCCCCACACCCCGCGGGGCTGGGCTTCGTGGGGATCAAGCTTCGTGGCTTTTTATGAAGAATCCCGAATCCCGCCTAGGAGCCCGCCCCACCCTCCTAGGGGCTCCGCCCTCAGCCCTGTGCCCACCGGGCCCAGGGACCACAGTGGCTGGACCAACCCAGGACCAGGGCGCCTGGGCCTCTCCTCTTTCCCAGCGGCTGGGGAGGGGAGATGGGGGCTTCCCCTCACCACACCTGTGGCTGTTCCCACATCCCCTTGAGTATCCCAGGAAAAATAAAACGGCAGAACTGCACTTGAACCCGCTGCTCTCTCCAGAAGAGGCCACCTCTGCCCCCATGTGTGTGGGGGGAATGGGTGGATGGAGACAGGCCGGGAAGCCCACGCTCTTGGTTTGGGATCCGCAGGGGTTGCCTGAGCTCCTCCCAGGGATGGGCCAGCTGGGTGAAAGGGGTTTCGGGCCCCCTAGTGACTATAACAAGGACTTGGATCCTCCTGGAGGGGCCTCGTTTTGGGGAAGAGGGGAGCGTGTCAACCTCCACCCTCTCCCCAGTTCAGTCCGTTTCCCATTCTGCCTCCCAGTCCTCCCAGGGTTCCCCCAGAGAGGGAAGCACAGAGCTCTCGGGGCGCACCGTAATGTGTTCGATAGACAGGGAGTGTAGTTATTGTTAGGTGTCAACAAATAATGGTTTCCTTTCCCCTAAGGACGTAGTGTTCCTTCTGCTCCAGTCATTCCTGAGCAGCAGCAGAAAAACTCTGTTGACTTCAGTGCTGCCATATTTTCTGATGCTTCCTATGGGTGGGTACTCTGGTGGAGGCTGGGGTAGGAGAAGAGGAAGTACAAAGAACAGAATTTTCCTGGGAAGCCTAGTATGGATGGCTAATTTTTCTTGAAAATGGTTAATATGGGTCCGGCGAGAAGTGAGTGATTTACATGAATGCAGCTGGTCCTTACGACAGATAAGAAGGCTAAAGTTCGGGGCAGGTTAAGTGACCTGTCCAAAGTCACAGGGCAAGAAGTGGTGGACCCAGGTTTAATGCCAAACGGTGAACTTTTAGCTTTACAGTGTGCTTAGCCCAGAAAGAATTTGATGGCAGACCCTGCCCAGAAAGCATCCTTGGGCAGTCCTTTGGGTTGATGTGTCACTGCCAGGCAGGAGGAAAAACCTTCAGAGGATTGGCTGCTCTTCTGGGCCACACTGGACCAGCCAATTCTTCTCATTCATTCGTTCAGCAGACATTTATCACTGTGGATAGCCCTGAACAAGATGTTGTTTCTACCCGTATGGAGCTTGTGGTCTTATGGGAAAAATAGACAAGTAAGCAAGCTGTTAAAATACAGGGGTGAGTGCTAGAAAGATGATTAGGGATCGGCTGCTGAAGGAGGGCTGGGGCTGGGAAGAATGTTCCAAGATCACAGGACAGCTGTGCAAAGGCATGGAGTGGTAAAGGCATTGGGAGCAGAGACTTGATCATGTTGGCTTTTCGGTCATGTTGAGGAGGGTGGCCTGGGTCCTGAGGGCCATGGAGAGCCATAGAAGGGTTTTGGACAGAAGAATAGCATAAACGCATTTTACAGACTGGCTTGGTAGGCAACTGATGAAAAACAAGAGGTGGCTCATATACACACTCATGTGAGCCTCCCGGAAGATGGGGAGGACTCCATTGTGATCTGAATTCCCCAAAGCAAATCAGTCTGGAGCTGATCCCACACAGATTCCTGGGCCCGGTCCAAGACATTGTGAATAGATTCTGCCCTCAAATGAGTTTTTAACAAGTGGTCCATGTGATTCTGAGGCACAGCCAGGTTTGGGAACACATAGATTGGATGATTGTCCACCGGTTTCTGCTAGAAATGCCCATTTGTCTGCTTCCTGTCGACTTGCCAAGTGAGGCCTTGGCTGGGTCACTTTCCCTCTCTGAGATTGTTTTCTCATCTCTAAAAGTGGGACACGGTGAGGTTTGAACTTGGTGATATGCTGGGCAACCCTGTAAAGCAGGTGTTGTCATCACCCCTATTTACAGATGAGAACGCGAAGATTTGGAGGGGCTAAGCAACTTACTCAGTTGGGAGGTGGCTGAGTATGAGTTTAACCCTTTGCATTGTACAGCATTTTATGGGTCTATCACTTTTCTCAGAAATTGGGCCAGGTTTCCCGGAATCATGAGATATTGAAAGTGGACACAAAGGAACAGATCAGCATGTGCAGCTCTGTGGTCTTCCTGCTAGGGACATGTCTAAAGTCTCTCCAGGTGGAACTGGTGTGGGCCAATCTCCTTTTGCTACTGTGGCCTGGGCAGTTGTGCTGAGCCCCATGGGCAAATGAAAGATTAAAGCTCATCCTTTTGCTTTTGTTGCCTCCAGGCTAGCCGTGGCCAGGCACATGACAGAAAGTTACTGTACAAAGGGAGGCCTGCTTTCCTAGAGAGGCTGGGATGAGAGGAGGGAGGCTCTAGCAACCAGGGAGTCTTAGTCCATTTTGTGCTGCTGTAACAGAATACTGTGGACTGGGTAATTTATAATGAGAAGTTCTGGAGGCTGGGAAGTTTGATACCAAGGTGAGAGCATCCTTGCTGCATCACCCCATAGTGGTAGGTAAGAAGGCAACAGGAGGCCAAACTTGCCTTTTTATTTTTATTTTTTGAGTTGGAGTCTCACTCTGTTGCCCAGACTGGAGTGCAGTGGCTGCTCCCGGCCACCGCAGCCTCGACCTGCGGGGCTCTACCGATCCTTCCGCCTCAGTCTTCTGAGTAGCCGGAATTACAGGCATGTGCTACCATGCCCGGCTGATTTTTTTATTTATTGTAGAGATGAAGTCTCGCTGCCCAGGCGGGTCTCGAACCTGCGGGCTCAGGCAATCCACTCACCTCAGCCTCTTTCCAAAGGCACGGGATTACAGGCTGAGCCACCGAGCCCGGCAAACTTGCCCTTTTTTAAAGGCACCAATCCCACCCATAAGGGTGGAGCCCTCACGGTCTACTCATCTCTTAAAGTCTCACCTCTTAACCAAGCGTGTTGGCTCATGCCTGTAATTCCAGCACTTTGGGAGGTCGAGGCAGGAGGATCGTTTGAGCCCAGGAATTTGAGAACAGCCTGGGCAACATAGTGAGACTCCATCTCTACTTTCAAAAAAGGGTCCCATCTCACTACTGTTACAATAGCAGTTAAGTTTCAGCATGAGTTTTGGAGGGAAAAGTGTTGAAACCATAGTACAGTGAGTCAGGGAAAGTTTTCTGTTTTGTTTTCTTGCAGGATGAATTAGCATTTTTCAGTCAAGGAAGAAAGGGGAGAATATTTATTTCTGACAAAGGAACAAGCTTTGGCAAAGGCATGGAAGAATATGTGTGTTGTGAATAATGGGGATAGGAGAGGGGTGACAAGCTAAGATGGGTGTGTAAGGTGCAGGGGACATATGGCCAGAAGGGACCAGTGGAGTGGGGTGGGGGCGGGGAGCTAAGCTGGAGACTTAATGGTTTTATTTAAGTATTTGAAAGACCCCTTGGCCAACAGAAATGGTTTGGAGGGGGCAACAGGAAGGCAGGGAGACCACTGAGAAAGCTGCTAAAGTGGTCCAGGTAAGAGATCATGATGTTGGCTTTGAGAGACATTTGGGAAGCATAGATGCCACAAGCCGGGTCTGGGGACTAATGCAAAAATTGCAAAGACTTGAGGGTGTCGCTCATAAATGAGTAATGCCATAAGTGGACATAGGAGATTACAGAAGGAGCAATAAAGTTGGGGAAACTTAACATGTCAATAACATTTTACTGAGCACTTAGGAGGTGCCAAGTACTATGCCAAGCACTTTATACACATTTAGGTGATTTAATATAGCAACCCTAGGGGGTGGGTACTACTATTGTCTTTTTTAAAAAACAAAGACTGTAAATAGCTTTTCTGAGATAAGCAGACAGCAGAGTCAGGATTTGAACCCGTGGCTATCTGATTTCTAAGTCTGTGCCCTTGAGCCCTACTCAGTTCCACCTGAGGGAGCCACTAGCCATTACTCAAGACTCAGCTCAAGGCTGATTCCTCTAAGGAGCCTTCCCTGAATCTTCCTGGCTGGGCTGAAGAACCTCCTCTGTGCTGCTTGTGCATACCAATGTCATCACATTTCTTATACTCTGTTGACATTTTGTAGACTGGTCTGCTTCTTCAGTCAGAGAACTCCTGAGACTGGGTTGGTCCCAGCCATTTTCACATCCTCAATGCCCAGTACATGTTGATTAGCTGACTGAATACCAATTATTCTAGGCGATCTTCTTCCCTTCTTTTCTCTACATATTCTGTTAGTGAACAAGTTTTGCTAATAATGGTATCTGGCATATTTCTTCATACTGTTGGGGCCCAGAAAGAGATACCCCAAAGGCTGGCACTTTACATGCTGAGAGACCTTAGAAATGGCTTCAGAATCAAGGTCCCTCTAACCCTGTCTTCCCTGCTCCCCAAGTGCAGGGAGGGAGTCTCTCTGGAATTTCCTCATCTGACCAAGAAAACTTCTTTCCAAAAAAAATTCCTTTTCCCCTCCCGGAAATCTCATCTATCTCAGAAAAGAAGACTGAGGAATGCAACTACACCTGGATGGATTTTTTACAAGATGATGCCTGCTTCTTGGGCTCATTCAAATTCCAAAGAGAATCATTTACAAGTTAATTTATGTCTATCTGTTCTCCTAATAACCATTTGCTGCCCTCAATAGAGTTGTCTATATTCCTCCTCTCCGCACTCCCCTATGGAAAAGAGTATATAAGCTTCTGTATCCCATTGGGCTATTGGGCAAACATTCTCCTGTGACCCTCGTGCTATGCACGTTAAAATAAAATTTTGTATGTCTTTTCTCCTATCAATCTGCCTTTTGTCAGTTGATTTTTAGTGAACCCCTAGAAGGTGAAGGGAAACTTTCCCCTTGACTTCTGCATACAGTTACTTTTTCTCCATCTTCATTGCCAGGGTTTAGCTTTGGGCTCTTTGAGGTAACAGAGGAAGGGCATCTAACCTAATAACACAGTCTAGGAGGCTTCCTATGGAGTTGACCCTTAAATTTGAAAAATGAGCCAGAGCTACTTTGGTAAAGAAAGGTGGGAAGGACACTCTAGGTACACGAAAAAGCTTACGTAAAGGCACAGAAGTGTGAAACTCTTTGGTCTGCTGGTTGTAGTATGCTCTGCTGAACAAAATATGCCAGGCTGAGATCAGTGGAATGAGGGTGGAAAGGCAGGGTCCTGTAGGGGCGTTACGAAGCTTGGGCTCTGGGGCTTTTTTTCTGTATGTGAAAAAAATTGATGTCTGTACAGGGCATAGTGGGGACACAGAAGAGGGTGTGAATACTTGTACCTGAGGGGTCATATAACATTTAGGTTTTATTATATATTATATATATTTCAATCATTTGTAGACTAACAATAGCAACCATCCATTTCCCTGTTGGCAGTGTGCCTGGCAGAGTACTTTACATATATTATCTCATCTGACTCACACCACTGCGAAATGGGCACATTACCTACACACAGAAGAGGAGAGGGAAGCTCTGACAATTTAGTAATATTCCCAAGGTCACATAGCTAGAAAGCTAGCCTGGATCCGAAGAGGTCTTAAAGCACTAGATTATACTCTGCTAAGGAGAGCATGAGGTCGGAGATCATGTCTTTTGTTTTTGTGTGTCCAGACCTAGGTCTTAGAAGATGCCTAATAAACGTCAGTTGAATAAATGAATGGATGACCTTTTACTTTCTCCACTCGAAAAGCATGTGGCGACGTCATTTGGGAAACATCCAGGCCGCGAGGAGGCGCTGTGGCCATCTCGCGCAGCGGCGCCTGCTTGAGGACGCCTAGCTTCCTCCCGTCCGCTGGCTGGAGCTCAACCAATCGCTGCGCTCCGAGAGAGCCGGCGGTTGGGGGGCGGGGTCACGGGGCACGGCCCTG